TTTAGAGTAGAAAAGTAACTCCCTATTTTATGTATGATGGACATTCCCGTCTAACTATAATTTTTACAAGACGGGAGAGTCCATCATGCATAAAATAGGAGTTACTTTTCAATCACCTTATATATATATATATATATATATATATATATATATGATTGTGTTCAAGCATGAAAACAGACTGTCGTCACTCATTGTTGACCTCAGTGTCCATATTTATATTTAAACACGCTCTATCCCTGATATTGATTACTTTTACCCATAAACCTATATTTTTAATATATATATATATATATATATATATATATATATATATGTGTGTGTGTGTGTGTGTGTGTGTGTGTGTGTGTGTGTGTAAAAGCGAAGAATTAAATTAATCTTCAACACGCATCTACAAATTTTAATAATATTTATTTTTGGAGTATTATTTTCCTTTCCAATTGAACAACTATACACAAAATGTTTTGTGTATCCTTTTTTAAAAGTACAACTGAATGTATTGCGTTAGTATAGGTTAAACAATGTGTTTATATGTTTACAGATGTATGTGTCTGCTTTTGTGTGATTACGAGACCGGTCTAGTGTGTATGAATTCTTGTTGTAGATCTTATGAGTAAGACGCTAGTGTTGCGTGTATGCGGATGTATATGTCACAAATTTATGTTGTCATCACTATGTGTATAAAGACTTGTAGATTGTCGAAAAGAAGGAGTGGGAAGCTAATCCTTACTGTTGCATCATGTAAACAAGTTCATGGAATGACGTCGCTAAACGTAGTTTTTGTAATGTTGAATACTCGAATAAGCGAAAGGTATGAGAAATTAATGCTGAGAATTTCAGTTCTGTTTGGGTGACAAACGGTCGAACAACCCTAGTTAAGTTTAACTGAAAGACTGATTCAGTCCGTTATGTGCCATACGTGATACATGCTAAGGCGATCATGCATCTTTCGATACATGACTGACGAGGCAGATTTTTCTTCCTTCTGCGGTGCCATCCCAGACTATTTACCTATAGCTGGGGAGAGAAGGTGAGGATTCATAGCTTTCCCAATGGTATTAGCATGTAATGAATCTGACTGAAATTCGAACTCGGCTCTCCGATTCCTCAATCCGAGCCGCTATACATTGCTCCACCGTGCCTACAAAGGCTGATTAGCGGACAAAAATTAATCATCTTTATAATAACTAGACGATGGATCTAAAATTTAGATATTTAATCGCAAGCTTATTGGCTAATAATTATTTTTAAATATTCCTTTTAAGGAAGAAAACTATTGTTGAACATATTCTAAAGTTAAGCCTCGAAAAATTTCAGTTCCAAGACATTTTACTGTCTGCTAATTCAAAGAAAACCACACGTCTGGTTCGACGTTGCTGGTTGGTTAATATATGTGAATACAAAGAATCAAATATATGGAGCCGGAAAAATACAAAAATTGAGTTACTTTCTGTGTGATGAATTTTCTGTAGTGCAATCTACTAGGATTTTTCTACAATTTTCTACGGGGAAGAAAAATCAACACAGCACGATGACTATCAGTTTCATGCCTTAAGCTGTCGTCAGACCATAGTAAATTTTAAACAATGTAATTATAGGAGGTTAGTCTGAAAAGCAACGGGATTGGTGTTACAAACAATTTATTTTAATTCCATTGAACCTCGTACGTTGAATATGACAGGAGAGGCCACCATATATATGTGTGTGTGTGTGTGTGTGTGTGTGTGGAGCACGCGCACGTGTGTGTTTCTGCGTGTGTATATATATTGATGTAATAGGAAAGAATAGTCAGATTAATAATCGAAAGTTCTTTAATATTTATGTTTTTATTTTTAAAAAACAGTGCTCGATAGAGAAGTAGAGCTTAAATTATAATTATTTTTTAAAAAATGTTTCCATCGCAACACAGAAATTACTGTTTCGAAATTGAAACTCAAGTCCTAAAGTTTAATTTTAAAATTAGGCTTAAAATTTAGAGCACAGTTTTCATTCTCAAGCGATGTTTAGAATTCTGAACATCACTTGAGCATGAAACTCTGCAAAAGATGCAGCAAAAAATATTTAGAAAATAATTTCATTCATCCATATAAGTTTCATTAAAATGCATGAAAGCTTCATTAAAATGCGATAATTTGTAAATCCATGTTTCTTTTTTCACCGCAAGAAGACGTTCAAATTTCCCATACTAATTTCTGAGCACCCGTTGCCGCAGAAATAACATTTTTATCCAAAATTTCGAAGGTTCTGAAAAAGATTAAAACATATAATTTAATAATTAAAAAAATCCATTAGTTTTTTTTTGTCTTATTAATGGCATAAAGATTTTGACGAGAAAATTAGGAAAATTCTTCTTCATGTACACACATATTTCTTCTAAATCTTTGGAAGTTCCTGGATTATATATATATATATATATATATATATATATATATATATATATATATATATATCATCCATTGACTGTTTGAAAAATACTGTAAATTTTACAAGATTTTACAAGGTGAAAATGATCATTTACATAATTCTGATTGTATGAAATATATCGCTCTGTTTATTATAAAAACAACATTGAGCTCTGTGTGAATCAGTTTTAATACTTCATATTTTATAGTGTTAATAGGATTCACTTAGATTATATACCAACGGATTCACTTGGATTATATACCAACGGATTACATATATATATATATATATATATATATATATATATATATATATATATATAAACTCACTAAATGTAGCCGTCTCTTCTACTCTAATAGCTTCATGTCTCGAACCTCTCGCCTGTGGAAACTCTCTTCCCTTCTCCTGTTTCCCTGAGAGTTATAATCTCCAGCTATTCAAGTGTAATGTCAATCGACATCTCCAGTTGCCTTAATCTATCTACTACCCTCATCCTTTCTTCTATCACTCCTATCTGATCTTCCTATTTTCTGTAACCCCTTGCGTCCTAGTGGCTTCCCGCCTTGCTTGGGGTGAAATGCTTAAAAAAAAAAAATATATATATATATGTAATGGAAGTGCTTTTTGATTGCCCCGTGAACGTTTTTAGTACTTCATCCGTAACCCCCTACCCACCCCGTAGAGAGATAGTGAAACGTACAGAGAGAGGGAGAGAGAGAGACAGAGAGAGACAAAGAGAGAGAGACAGAGACAAAGAGAGAGAGACAGGGACAGAGAGAGGAGACAGAGAGAATATAGAGCGCCCGTTGAAACATTTCCTGTTTGTGTGAAAACAAATGAAACAGCTTTACCTGGAATTGAAACCCGTTTACCATTCCCACTATTCGTGCTGCTAACCGCTACACGACGCGCATAGACATTGCGTTTGATATAATGTGGAGTATCCTGATCCTTTTTGCATTGATTGAGATGTTTTGGCCAACGTAATCTCCGGGTCTTCTTCAACTCTTCCAGATTCACTTCTAGTGGTCCTTGTGTGTGTGAAAATCTCATTTTAATCTCGCCATATTGATTGGAAAATTCACAGATAGAGAAAATTATTAATAGCATACCTAAAGCATCGTGGAGTAATGGATAGCGGCTCTGATTGAGGAATCGAATTCTAGTCAAATCTATTACATTCACTTATGTTCTAATAGGTATGAATCCTCTTCTTTTCACCCCTCACCTATGGGTAATTAGTAAGACAGACTGGGTTCTATTGCCTTAGATGACAACTGGTCTACCGCAGAAAAAAATGGCAACCTACTGCGAAAAAAATCTGCCTACGTCAGTCATGTATCGAAAGATACATGATCGCTTAAGCATGTATCACACATGGCACATAACTGACTGACTGAAGTAGAATATATGTACCCAAGTACATCAATAAATCCGTTGCCTATCGATAAAATATAGATTTAATTTACACAAAAATAATTATTTCGAACATAATCTCCTCCAACTGATGCTTTTCAATTACTCACATAGATCGAACGTTATACAGGGTGTCCCCCCCCAAAAAAAAATGGCATCATTTTAAAAGCAGTTATCTTGAAAACTCCTAAATCTAGCTCAATGAAATTTAACAGTTTAGGTATTGAATATCATAAGTTTATTATGGGACCGATTTCATAAGTCAATATGTATACTGCCTGTGACACGGTACACGTCATGTTGATAGTTAAGCTCTTGCCAGACACGTTGTAGCATGTCTCCGGTAACATTATCCAGTACAGAAGTGATTCTCTGCTTGAGTTCATCAATGCTAGCTGGAAGAGGGGTGGGGACATAGACCACTCCCTTCACATATCCCCATAAAAAGAAATCACGCAGGGACAGGTCCGGTTACCGCAGCGGCCATTTCATCAGAAAACTGTTTTCATCTCCACCGCAACTGAACCATATCTTTGGCAGATTCTCATTGCGATAACAAAAAGAAAACATTAAATATAAAATCTTGATATGTTTCTACACATTCTGTGAAAATTTGAAGTTATTTCAACAAGAATTGTAATAATTATTGGCCTACGAAAATGAAATCCAATTTTTTGAGATACCCTGTACAATAAACATTTCAGCGTTAGACTATAGACTTACTGATCCACCATTTAATTTTTTTTAATCATAATGTGCTGGATTTTATTTTTTATCAGAATGATTATATTTAAAAGGTTTCTAAGAATGTTAGTGGTGATTACAAAGTTAATGTGTACTATAATAAGTTTTTAAAAAGTGAAAAATGTCTTAAATTAACAAGTCTTTATAAGCATGGTGGTGGGTGTTTCAAATGTGAATGATGTGAGTGTTGTTGGAGGTGGGGATTATGTCAGTCATAATAATAATAATAATAATAATAATAATAATAATGATGGTGACGGCAAAGAGGGTTAAGAAGGTGTCAGTTTGGTGGAGATCTCGTAATAATCATGTCGTTGGGCAAAAAAGCACTTTGTTTTGAATTGCGATTCAAGTGTTTTGTCAATTAGCCGGGAGCTAGGATATGCACCGTTCATGTTTGTTTAGATTGGCGTTGGGTTTCATTCGAGACTTGGACGAGATTAGGTACGAGGAAGAGGTGTAAAGCATGGTAAGGGAGAGAGAAGAATAGAGAAAGAGTGGAGAACGAGAGACAGTATAAGAGGGAAATAGGGAGGAGGAGGGGAAAAGGGAGAACACAGAGAAAGCGGAGAGAAGAGGGAGAATAAAGGGGAAAAAGAAAGAATAAAGGAGGAAGAGAGAGACGAAAGAAGGAAGAGAGGAAGAAGGGAGGAAGAGAGATAAGAAAGAGAAAAAAGCCTGAAAGTAACAAGAAAGAGAGAGAGAGAGAGAGAGAGAGAGAAGAAAATAAAAATAGATAGAAAGTGTTGGAAGAGAGAGAGAGGGCAGAGGACGGAGACAGAAAAGAAAAAAGGAGAAAGAGAGAGAGAGAGAAGAAAGGAAGAAAGAGGGAGAAGTAAAAGAAAAGTTAAAGAAGAAAGGGAGAAAGAGATAGAAGGAAGAAAGAGAGAGACGAAAAATGAAACAGGTATAATCGAAGAGAGAACAAAGATAAAGAGGTAATGAGGGAGAAAGAGGGGCCGAGAGATAAGCAGATGAGATAAAAAAAGAATAAAAGAGAAATAAAGAGTGAATAAAGGAGGAAGGGAGAGGAAAAGAGAGGATAAAATATACAAAGAGAAAAAAGAAAACAAAGAGAAACAGAGATAATAAAGGAGGAAGAGATAGATGAAGAATGTGATAGAAGTAGGAAGGGAGAGAAGAAAAAACGGGGAGAAGGAAAGAGTAAGAGAAAAGAGAGATAAGAGAGAGAGAGAGAGAAAGAAAGAAATTCGCAGAAGAAAAGCGGAGGAGAGAAGCATGAAGAAAGAGAAAAGAGAAAGAGAAAAAGAGAAGAATAGAGGAAGATAGAAAGAGCAAAGTAGAGGTAGAAAGAGAAAAAGAAATGAGGAAAAAGTTAGAATGGAAAAGAAGAAAGAGAAAGGACGAGAGAATAAAGATGAAAGAAAGCTTAAGAGGATGACGAGGATTTAAAAACAGATAAGAAAAGAGAAAGAAAAAAAAAGAGAGAAGAAAGAAAATGTTAAGAAATAGCTTCATTAACAGATCGCGACATCTTTCAATGAGAAGAAATTTAAATTTTTATTATTGTATTATTCCAAAGATTTTAACACATCAGCAGATACCTAATGTCAACAATTGAGCGCAAATAGTTATTAATTTAAAAAAATAGTAATTAATGTATAATATTAACCATAACTACATGTGCAAGAATGTTGTTTTTGATAAAAGTTTAAAAATAACCATAAATACGTAAAAAATGCATATATTGTCGAAAATTTCTTTTACCACAATATTATTACAATATAGCTATTTGTGCTGTTAAATGCTTATTACCTAAACAATACTGAATAATTTTTTTAAACAATAAGCATATTTCATCACATGTCCCTAATAACTGTCGCAATTCGTAAAGAAAGCAACATTTTATTGCTACATTTAATGACACTATGACTGAAGAAGATAAGAAAAAATGAAGTGGACAAATGGCTCCGAAAATAATGAAGAATGTCGAAACAGATTAATGCGTTTTCAGGAAGAGAAAAATCCCAAGATGCGAAATAGGAAATGTAGATGTCAGCGCCAAACATGTTAGTACAGCCATTTAAATATCTGGGAAGTAGACTGAAAATACGACGCCGATTCCGAACAAACATTGCAATAGTAAGGATTCCAAAATTAAACATAAATTATTAAGTACGAAGAAGAAGTGTTCCAAAAATTAAACAAAGTACGAAGAAGAAGTTTTCCAAAAATTAAACAAAGTACGAAGAAGAAGTGTTCCAAAAATTAAACAAAGTACGAAGAAGAATGGTTCCAAAAATTAAACAAAGTACGAAGAAGAATGGTTCCACAAATTAAACAAAGTACGAAGAAGAATGGTTCCAAAAATTAAACAAAGTACGAAGAAGAAGTGTTCCAAAAATTAAACAAAGTACGAAGAAGAATGGTTCCAAAAATTAAACAAAGTACGAAGAAGAATGGTTCCAAAAATTAAACAAAGTACGAAGAAGAAGTGTTCCAAAAATTAAACAAAGTACGAAAAAGAATGGTTCCAAAAATTAAACAAAGTACGAAGAAGAAGTGTTCCAAAAATTAAACAAAGTACGAAGAAGAAGTGTTCCAAAAATTAAACAAAGTACGAAGAAGAAGTGTTCCAAAAATTAAACAAAGTACGAAGAAGAATGGTTCCAAAAATTAAACAAAAGTACGAAGAAGAATGTTCCAAAAATTAAACAAAGTACGAAGAAGAATGGTTCCAAAAAATTAAACAAAGTACGAAGAAGAAGTGTTCCAAAAAATTAAACAAAGTACGAAGAAGAAGTGTTCCAAAAATTAAACAAAGTACGAAGAAGAATGGTTCCAAAAATTAAACAAAGTACGAAGAAGAATGGTTCCAAAAATTAAAAAAGTAGGAAGAAGAATGGTTCCAAAAATTAAACAAAGTACGAAGAAGAAGTGTTCCAAAAATTAAACAAAGTACGAAGAAGAATGGTTCCAAAAATTAAACAAAGTACGAAGAAGAAGTGTTCCAAAAATTAAACAAAGTACGAAAAAGAATGGTTCCAAAAATTAAACAAAGTACGAAGAAGAATGGTTCCAAAAATTAAACAAAGTACGAAAAAGAATGGTTCCAAAAATTAAACAAAGTACGAAGAAGAATGGTTCCAAAAATTAAAAAAGTACGAAGAAGAATGGTTCCAAAAATTAAACAAAGTACGAAGAAGAATGGTTCCAAAAATTAAACAAAGTACGAAGAAGAAGTGTTCCAAAATTAAACAAAGTACGAAGAAGAAGTGTTCCAAAAAATTAAACAAAGTAGAAGAAGAAGTGTTCCAAAAATTAAACAAAAGTACGAAGAAGAATGGTTCCAAAAATTAAACAAAATACGAAGAAGAATGGTTCCAAAATTAAACAAAGTACGAAGAAAAATGGTTCCAAAAAATTAAACAAAAGTACGAAGAAGAAGTGTTCCAAAAATTAAACAAAGTACGAAGAAGAATGGTTCCAAAAATTAAACAAAGTACGAAGAAGAATGGTTCCAAAAAATTAAAAAAAAAGAAGAATGGTTCCAAAAATTAAACAAAGTACAGAAGAAGTGTTCCAAAAATTAAACAAAGTACGAAGAAGAATGGTTCCAAAAACGAAGAAGAATGGTAAAAATTAAACAAAGTACGAAGAAGAAGTGTTCCAAAAAATTAAACAAAGTACGAAGAAGAATGGTTCCAAAAATTAAACAAAGTACGAAGAAGAATGGTTCCAAAAATTAAACAAAGTACGAAGAAGAATGGTTCCAAAAATTAAACAAAGTACGAAGAAGAATGGTTCCAAAAATTAAACAAAGTACGAAGAAGAAGTGTTCCAAAAATTAAACAAAGTACGAAGAAGAAGTGTTCCAAAAATTAAACAAAGTACGAAGAAGAAGTGTTCCAAAAATTAAACAAAGTACGAAGAAGAATGGTTCCAAAAATTAAACAAAGTACGAAGAAGAATGGTTCCAAAAATTAAACAAAGTACAAAAGAATGGTTCCAAAAATTAAACAAAGTACGAAGAAGAATGGTTCCAAAAATTAAACAAAGTTGTTCCAAAAATTAAACAAAGTACGAAGAATGGTTCCAAAAATTAAACAAAGTACGAAGAAGAATGGTTCCAAAATTAAAAAAAAGGAAGAAGAATGGTTCCAAAAATTAAACAAAGTACGAAGAAGAAGTGTTCCAAAAATTAAACAAAGTACGAAGAAAATGGTTCCAAAAATTAAACAAAGTACGAAGAAGAAGTGTTCCAAAAATTAAACAAAGTACGAAAAAGAATGGTTCCAAAAATTAAACAAAGTACGAAGAAGAATGGTTCCAAAAAATTAAACAAAAGTACGAAAAAGAATGGTTCCAAAAATTAAACAAAGTACGAAGAAGAATGGTTCCAAAAAATTAAAAAAAGTACGAAGAAGAATGGTTCCAAAATTAAACAAAACGAAGAAGAATGGTTCCAAAAATTAAACAAAGTACGAAGAAGAAGTGTTCCAAAAATTAAACAAAGTACGAAGAAGAAGTGTTCCAAAAATTAAACAAAGTACGAAGAAGAAGTGTTCCAAAAATTAAACAAAGTACGAAGAAGAATGGTTCCAAAAATTAAACAAAATACGAAGAAGAATGGTTCCAAAAATTAAACAAAGTACGAAGAAAAATGGTTCCAAAAATTAAACAAAGTACGAAGAAGAAGTGTTCCAAAAATTAAACAAAGTACGAAGAAGAATGGTTCCAAAAATTAAACAAAGTACGAAGAAGAATGGTTCCAAAATTAAAAAAAGTACGAAGAAGAATGGTTCCAAAAAAAACAAAGTACGAAGAAGAAGTGTTCCAAAAATTAAACAAAGTACGAAGAAGAATGGTTCCACAAATTAAACAAAAAGAAAGAAGAATGGTTCCAAAAATTAAACAAAGTACGAAGAAGAAGTGTTCCAAAAAATTAAACAAAAGTACGAAGAAGAATGGTTCCAAAAATTAAACAAAGTACGAAGAAGAATGGTTCCAAAAATTAAACAAAGTACGAAGAAGAAGTGTTCCAAAAATTAAACAAAGTACGAAGAAGAAGTGTTCAAAAATTAAACAAAGTACGAAGAAGAATGGTTCCAAAATTAAACAAAGTACGAAGAAGAAGTGTTCCAAAATTAAACAAAGTACGAAGAAGAATGGTTCCAAAAATTAAACAAAGTACGAAGAAGAAGTGTTCCAAAAATTAAACAAAGTACGAAGAAGAAGTGTTCCAAAAATTAAACAAAGTACGAAAAAGAATGGTTCCAAAAATTAAACAATGTACGAAGAAGCGTTCCAAAAATTAAACAAAGTACGAAGAAGAATCGTTCCAAAATTAAACAAAGTACGAAGAAATAGGAAAATGTTAGAAACAAAAAAAATCGTGTTGAAAAGCTATGTAATATCAATCATCTTTTATAGCATTGAATGCTGACAGATGACAAGACAATTGGAGGTAACAGAAAAGTGGTTCTACAGAAGAATGCTGAGAATACCGTGGACGAAGTGTTTAAGTAACGATAAAGTCTTAAGTAAAACGGGAACACTTATATTCAGAATCAGAAAAAAAAAAACAGCTGAAATTTCTTGAATTCGAAATGAGGAAAGAGGGCTTGGGGAATTTGACACTCCTAGCACATAATTTAGGAAAAAGGGAAAAGGGGAGGCAATGAGTCGAGCTTGTATAAATGGATGACGGAAAGTGGTGTGGGAAGCTAGGCAAAGGGACAAAGGCACCTATGGGCTAAAACTTATGGGAAGTTATAGACAGCCATGATTGCCCGCCCTCTGAAGATGATGATGATGATGATAACAAAAGTTGAAAGGAACAATGAAACTATAAATAATAATAATAATAATAATAATAATAATGATAATGTATCAGGTTGCATGATATTGGCATCCACTGAGTATAAAACCCGGCATGACAGAGTGGGCCAATATCTGCACTGGAAAATCTGCAACTTCTACGCGAAGGAAGCTGAAAGAAACTGGTATGAACACCACCCAGACACGGTTACGGAGATAGGACCTGTTACAATTCTATGGGATTACACAATACACACTGACAGAACAATCAAAGCCAACCGCCCAGATATTGTTATTAAAGACCACAAACAAAAAAAGTGCCTCCTTATTGATATGGCAGTCCCTGCAGACTACAATGTATCTTTGAAGATATTCAAAAACCTGTCAAAATACAAGGACCTTGAAATAGAAATCTCAAAAATGTGGCACACGGGAACTTCAACAATCTCTGTTGTAGTTG